CTGTGCGGACTGCCCGTACCGTAGCCTCGAGACATTAAGATACGGCTGCCGTACCCGTAGCCTCGAGACATTAAGATACGGCTGCCGTGTAGCCTCGAGACATTAAAATACGGCTGCTGTACCGCTAGCCTCGCAGACATTAAGATACGGCTGCCGTACCCGTAGCCTCTGCGCATTTTAAACGCAGTGGCTACAGGTACGGTAGGCGTATGTTAATGTCTTGAAGCTACGGGTACGGTAGTCCATTTGCGCAGATGCGTCGCTTTCACAAAATAATGCCGTGGAAATTAATTCACGATTAATTAATCTCCAGCCTAATAATTAATCAATTAATTAGCTAGCCTACACTAGTTGTTTGGGATCGATTGTCAGTACAGATGCAAAATATTGAAAGCAAAAGGTTAAATACAACATTAGGGGTGAGTATTGCGACCAAAAACCGTATTGCCAATATATTGCAATACGACAAAACCGCGTATGCAATATTTTCAATACGTATTGGGAAATGTATACGCATGCATGATATAGTAAGCAATTTGATGGTTTTAATATCATCATATATTGTATTATATGACATGATTTAATTTCTCATGTTTTTCTTGAGAAACAGAAGCACGGCAATGTTTCCGCTGACAGTGCAGCCCTCTGTGCCGTAACAATGTCACCCGCCGCTGTACTGAATACCTCTCGGAAGGGCACTGACGGTAGCTGGAATACACAATACCCCTGCTGCATAATTGGCTATACTGGATACTGACTGAAACTCGGGTTCTCCCTACGTTGCGCAAACGGGCGCGCGCGCGCCCCGTTGGAAAACTCCCCCTGTTCAATTGTTGCGCCCCATTTAAATTACCTCCGCCCCGATTAAATTCCGCACAATAAAAGTTGCCAGCCGAGGAATCGATCGTCACAATTCCATTCGACCAGGACACCCGCGTGTGTATTTTTACCGGCCACGCATGCACTGTAGACAATACACAAGTACAAACAGTCAGCTGTCCTACACCTAACACTAACTGTACACGCGACTCGGCTATCTTATATACGCGTGCGTAGTAAATCGTAGGTATTATAAGGCTAGTAAATGACGAATTTCCCTTGTTTATTGAAGTCACAGTCCTTCCCTATTATCTACTCCTGATAGAGAGACATCTCTCTTATGTAATGGATATATATGAGTTTGATTGAATTTGATGAGCAGTTATGTTGCAATGCCCTTTAGAGTGTTACCCGTCCTTAACCCTAACAGTATCCTTAATTTACTTACCATTAAATACTAGCTACACATACAATAATGTCAATATTCCTTCGCAATACACCGGTTGTGTCGACGCTGCAATCTAAAATGATCGATGATTAATCGATCATCGGTCGTTTTGTAAAACCAATGGTCGATCATGAAATTTGGACTGATCTCCAACACTAATTAAGAGTCTTTGATACCATGTGTTGAACCCAAACTTGGAATTTACACAATCTTGAGATCGCGCAGTGATAGTGCTGCCCAAACTGCGGATTTCCTAGTTTGGCTGCCCAATCTCAAGATTGCGCACGCTGAAAACAGTTACTTATACAACTACACTTTTAAAATGGTGATTGTGGCATATGCAAGTATAACTGAGGCAAACTAGGAAGGGATTTCTCTAATAGTAATAGTTATCAAATTATCTAATATAATCATTTATTATTTTAACAAAGATGCCAAACACATTGAAGAAAATCGATGAAATTAACATTTCGTAGCCTATGAATTCCAAGTTTGTGCAAGCCCTGCTCACCTTGCCCAAACTAGGGATTTTACTATTATTAAGCAAATTATCTCAACTATCCATATAATTTGTTAACCAATATGCCAAACACAATCAAGAAATAAGATATGGGAACTCATTGTCATGATATAACATTTCGTAGCATATGATTCCATATGATTAGCATAAGTTTGTGCAACCCCTGCTCACCTTGCCCAAACTAGGTTTTGAGCGGTTGCTCAATCTCAACATTGGTTGCCCAAACTGCGAAATTCCAAGTTTGTGCAAGATTCCAAGTTTGGGTACAACACCCTGTGGTCAACCTGTTATGTACAGTTATTGAAAAAAACTGTCATTTTGAAATAATGCATCAAATTGTCTTAAATTTGTTTGAATTTTAATGTTGGTATGCATGCATGGAGAATTCTACAATGTATTAATTTTATCATATGTGTTTATAAATAGCCGCAGAATGAGCACATCGAACTGCACCGCAAGCGCTATGGAAGACGACTTGATTATGAAGAAAGAAAGTAAGTTGTAACTAGACTAGCTTTTATATATTATTAATTTGAGTGTAGGGGAAGGCTACAGTATATATATCTGTGTAATGTCCTGCACCTATTGGGCATCTGACGATGAAATACACATATAACACAATGATTATAATGTTAAATTTTATTCAGGAATTATGTGGATGATAAATCTTGACTTATTCTTGTTCTTCATGTTTAATTTCTGAAAATTGGAAGTATTGCTATTTGGAGTATTTAATAAATGATCACTAATTCTTGTTGTATAGGAGAAAGAAGGAGAGTCGGGAAGTTCATAAAAGGGCAGCAAAGGCAAAGAAACTTAGAGGACTGAAGTATGTTTGCTTGAACGCATTGGTTATGGTGCTTCTGGTATAATGATCTTGCTAGCCATTTATACAGAACTAATCTATAAAATTGTTTTTTTGGTCAGTGCCCATACTGTTTGTGAATTCAAATGGTATGGCAATAACTTTTACAAGTTTTATATTTATCTGAATTTTGTTTATTGCTTTATAATTATCTTCTATTTTGCAACTCGGTAGAACTGTAATGTTTTTCAGAGTAGAACTCATGAATCCGAAGCCTATGTCATATCATATCATCTAACTTGAATATGTTGTTTAAATAGGGCAAAGTTGTATAATAAACAGCGGCATGCAGAAAAGGTGCAAATGAAGAAAACGTAAGTATATTTGCATTGAATATTGCACAGTTAGTTGATTATTTTCAAATTTATTCACACCACAAATTTTTAGTGATATTTCTAAATGGCGGTATGGTTAGGACTGTTTTTAGCTCAGCTGACGAAGTCAGATGCAGCTCGTAGAATCGCATGAATGTCCGTCCGTCCGTCCTTGTGTCCGTGCGTCCGTCCGTCAACAGTTGGGCACAAATCTTAACTGCTCGACACACGGTCTTGATATTTGGGAAATTGGGGGGGGGGATCGCGAAAAGGACTCGGGATGTCGAATTTAGGGGTCAAGGCCTCAAGGGTCAAAGATCAAGATGTGTCAATGGAGGGGGAATATTTCCCCCTTAACTTAAGGTATAGGAGGAAATAGGGAATTGCGGCACAAATCTCAACGGCTCGACCTACGCTCTTAATATTCGATGTATAGTGTGATGGGGAGGAAACCCATCACCAGCGCGAAATTGGAGGTCTGCAGCGTGACGTAATACGATAAACTGAGCATGTGCAGCGTACCCGTGCTAACCTAGCCCGCTTCAGCTGGCTATGTCTGTATGGTACGGTTTAGCACGCGCCTGGCCCAGACTAGTTTGATACGGGATCAAATTTTGCAGTCTGTACGGGGTAATACATGAATGTATCAGACTTTTCATAGGCTAAATAAACTCTGGTATCAAGTAGCATATTCATAGCATTTCATAGCAAATGTCTATTGTACCCCACCCAATTCAGAAAGGTTACTGATACCATCCTCATGCCTTCAAATGTTTTAGCGCATATGCGAACACATTTGGGCCTAACAAACGTGTCACTATGCACGACTGAAATTTAGAGTTTATAAGCATAGCAACAGACCTCAGATGAGCACTGTTGCTCTGCGGCTCTTGTTTATCCTATGCACCAGCACAGTATATAATTTTAGGTATCAAAACTCATCCCTAAAAAAGCCTGGAGGAAATGCATGTGTAAACCTGGTCACTGATTTTATTATTATGCATTTTCATATTCCGCTATATATCCCGAATTAACCCAACTAAGTATTATATACATATAGGATCAAGATGCACGAAGAGAGAAAGACCAAGCAGAAAAATGATGAGCCTGTACCAGATGGTGCTGTGCCTGCATATCTCTTGGACAGAGAAGGGCAGTCACGTGCGAAAGTTCTTTCTAACATGATCAAGCAGAAACGCAAAGAAAAGGCTGTAAGTATATCTTAAAATAAAATGTAAAGATATGATCAAGAGCGTATAAAGAAGGAGAACGTACAACGGTGAAATGCTGAAACCTGGTACCATGTTGCAATATTAGTTGAATTAATAAACTCCCCGTTTTATTTTGACGATTCTTTGCAGTATTATTGATCAGCTGTCCTACCTTGTTAATATAAAACAAACCGCATGTCCCTACGATGCCTCTACGCTGAGATAATGAGCGGTGAAAATCTGGTATTTTCTCTCTCGTTTTGTGGACTGTATGTTGCTTCTGGTCGCCGCTGTGTAGCGCTGACTCGATACGTTATTACTACAGCGTTACTACATCCAGCGTAAGGGGCGGGTCATCACCATGGCAATAAATAACAAGACGTTTTTGTGGAGTAATGGCTGCGTCAATGACTGGAAATGCGAGAAAAGATAATAGAAGGAAAAGAAATTTTATTGTCAATGAATGACGGAAACACGCGAGGTTTCCCGAAGCTATCGCCAGAACGAGAGACAGTCGCAGCCACTACGTATCTCGAGTCGGTTTTCGGCGAAAATACCAGATTTTCACCGCTCATTATCTCAGCGTAGAGGCATCGTAGGGACAAGCGGTTTGTTTTTTATTAGCAGGGTAGAACAGCTGATCAATAATCCCACAAAGAATCATCAAAATAAAACGGGCAGTTTATTAATTCGACTAATACTGCAGCATGGTTTCAGCATTTAACCGTTGTACGCTCTCCTTCTTAATACGCTCTTGATGTGATGCAAATAATATATGCAGATTTGTTTAATTCTCTCCAATTTCTATTTAAATAAGCTTCTAACATGTTTAGGTTAGGAGCAAGAAAGGAATCTTTCTTATCATTGTCCTGTTGTCTAAGCCAGATTTATGAAAATATAAAATATAAATATAAAACTAAGCTTAAACATTATTATATGCTAAAAGGCTCTTACATGATCGGCAAAATGTAACCGGTACTGAAATATTTGTATCTCATGCTGGGTGTGTGCTATTGAGAGGTAAAGTTAGTGATTTAATTGTTATAAAGTGTTTGCCTTTGTACTGTTGCATGTGTACTTTTATGTCTGCAGGGTAAATGGGATGTACCACTTCCAAAAGTAAGAGCCATGGGAGATTCTGAAGTATTTAGGGTCGTAAAAACAGGCAAATCGAGAAGTAAGTGTAAAGTTTTTTTTCGCAAGGTTCTCCCTGGGAATAGAAGATGTGTCAGGCAATCGGACAATTTAGTTTCGATTGCTAATTAGCGTCAATTAAACATGTTGTAAATGGCCCCAATGCACAGGTAAACTCAATCAGTTCGCAAACATATACATCAAGCTGGGAAAACATAGCATGATTGTGTTGGGATTGTCAAAAGTAAACATAGCTGGGAATTTAGGCATGTCGGATGATTTCTGATATGTCGGGAATGTTGGACCTGACATGCTTTAAAGGCCTGGAGAGATCTCTGATTCAGAGTCGCCCTCCGATGTCCTTTGTAACATATTGAGGACTAAATTGTTTACTCTGTCAATGGCGAGCTCATATTTATATAGTTACTATTTATTTTTATGGGCTGACATAAGTTTAAAGTCAAAACTTCATTGTGAAAGACTGATGGGGAAGAAGTTAGAGGCTATTATACCATGGTTTACTTTACTTACATAATAATAACAGAATAGTGTTAGTCGCATGTAAATTATTTACTAAATCAGACTCGGAGAACTCATGTAGTTTGACTTTTTTGTGAATATCTTCATCCAGTAGTATTCACAAGTGGTGCGTTAGTCTGTGTTGCAGATTGGATAATAATGTACGATTCCAATTGCAGGGAAAGGGTGGAAAAGAATGGTAACTAAGGTTACATATGTAGGAGAAGGTTTCACAAGAAAACCACCCAAGTTTGAACGTTTTATTAGACCTATGGTAAGCAAGTCACAGTCTATTAATAATATCTGTTAATTCCTATACAGTTTGATAACCCTTAAAGCCACAATATGGGCATCTACACGCTAATTTCTCCAGTACTAGACTAGCAAATACTTCGTGTCATGCATAATCATACTACCTTATGACAAAATAAACTCTAGTTCCTCCCATTTCACTGTGCGTTGTCTTATAAAAGGTATTTGAAAATATCTCCAATGTTGTTCGAATTCTCCGATGTTGTTGACACTTTCGCGTTGCTCTGCCAAGCAACCGTACAGCGGGTGTAGCAAAGATTTCTACGGTCCGTGTGCATTTTTCGCTCGCACGCTGCTAGCGCAATGTTATCGTTCGGGATATCAAGCCTAAAATTAATACGTTATTCTCAGAGTTTATTACGCTGCCTATTATTACTTTCCCAATAGCCATTGATGTTACATACACTGCAGTTCACAATACTACAACTATCTTAAAATGTAAACGACTATATTCTCTGCTCAACACCCGTAGCAACATGTGACGTCAGTGACGTCACATAACCGATTCGGGGCGAAATTGCTTGGCAAACAATTCGGCGTTGGCGTCAGATTACCAGATTTCACACCTCTTTCTTGTGGGTTTTAAGCAAACGCGCAGTGAAATGGGAGGAACTAGAGTTTATTTTGTCATAAGGTAGTGTGATTATGCATGTCACGAAGTATTTGCTAGTCTAGTACTGGAGAAATTAGCGTGTAGATGCACATATTGTGGCTTTAACATTTTGTAGAAATAAAGTACATATGGCAGTATGGGTAAAATATAAATGACCTGAGCATATAAATGTAATAATGCTAACAAGCGAATTTGTAGGGTTATGCTATCCTTTGGTATGTAAAGCTGTCATATGATATGAAGGTTCAAAATTAACACAAGTTGGTAGTCACATTCGCTTTGATTTAATGTTGGACGCGGTTTGACATATGAAGGGGTTCTTAATGTGTCAGCCTTAAAATTCTGCCATACCAGTTTATTCCCGACTGCGGCAGTGCGGAATAACCATATTTTCTTAGTGAAATATTTACTTACAAGACAGTTTGAAAAACCCAGAACAAACATCCTGCAATGTCCAATCATATGTAATCAATAGTGGGTGTTACAGGTAACCAGTGTATGCCGTGCTTGCTGCTAGTGCATGCATGTGGAGTGTCGAGCTGCTGTATTGATTGTTCTGCGGGGTGCACCTGATTGTGCCCAACTTATTTTCATGCAAAGTAGTTCTATTAATCCTTCCAACTTGATTTGAGGTGATTAAAATACATGCATTTCATGAATGCCTAGTGACTTTGCTATTCGTTTTGCTTATTAGCTCACGCATATCCATGATAACATGTTAATATAGCGAAGTCATTAAAGTTACACAGCTGTATCTTTATTACTGTACTACCAGTAGGTATAGCAAAGCCTATCATAGATTTTAGATCTGTATTAGTAGTATCATAGATATTTGCTCTAAGCGCGAATGCGGTGGCAGGAGGGCGCACTTGATTCGGTTGCCAGTGAGTTTATCAGAAGAATACCTGGCTACAGTACACATCAGTTGAGCGCTGTCACTCTGCGGCACTTGTTCATTATAAAGTCTTTCCAAAAGTATGTAGCAGTAGACTACCATCTGTACATGTAACGTGTAGCCTCATCACAGTTTGTTTCAATACTTTTCACATTTTTGTTGTATTTGAATAAGACAAAAAACATTCTGCATTATGGCCAAGATTTATTATAATTCAACTTTAATGTTGAAATCTGCAAAATATGCACGTGTGGATTACTGTTGTGTGCATATCATTTTGCTGCAAACTCCCTCGAGCAAAAGTCAATTTCCACCTCTGTAATGTAGTGCATGTTTTTAAAGTAACATGCACGTGAAATCAATCATCATGTACTATCATGTTGTCTGTAACATTAAGCAGCTTCTTACAAGTTTGTAATAGCCATATTAATCCCATGCCAAGCAAGTTCTAGTATGTATCGTAATTTTCAGGTTGTCAAGTTCCACCATTGTTACATGTGAAATCTAACGTTGAATTTCACTGCTGAATCTATTTATTTAGGCACTGCGGTTCCGAAAAGCCCATGTAACACATCCAGAACTAAAGGCTACATTCTGTCTCCCACTAATTGGAGTAAAGAAGAACCCTACGTCACCCTTGTACACATCTCTAGGAGTTATTACTAAAGGAACAGTAATTGAGGTATAGTTATATATCATTTACTTGTACACCGTGCAAGTATTACCCTGCCATGGCATGGTTGCCCATTCAATATGCCTGACTAATTACACTCGGTGCAGTCGTGTTGTAACTTGTGATGCATGTAGTATATATGTATATCTTTAAAAAAACTGTAAATTTATGCTAGTGTAGATTAAAATTTAAAATCTAAAGTTGCCCTCTTAGGCTCTATCATATAAAATGTTGCGAACTAAATATATGAAGGATGACTGGTAATTTTTTGTTTCAGGTAAACATCAGTGAGTTAGGTCTGGTGACGCAAGGTGGCAAGGTGATCTGGGGAAAATATGCACAGGTGACGAATAATCCAGAAAATGATGGTTGTATAAATGCAGTGTTGTTAGTATAATCTGATCTTGCAATTCATGAAAATATATATTCATGAATTCTTTGGAAATATGAAAATAGTATTTGGTGTAAACCATTTTTACACATTTCATGCATAATTTTCCATACAAAATCTAGAACGATAAAAATTACTGAAGATTGCCATACATAATGTCGGTTTGCATTGAAATGGAACTGTTATTAGTATCCATAATAGAATTGGTGAAAATTGTTGCAATAAACGACAGTTTTTTAATACACCCAAGCTTTGCATGCATATGGCTCTAATGTAGAGTAAACGTTTATTGACCAATGAATCGAATCAATCGCACGTTTTATTTATATGTGAGATGTATCTCTATGCTCAAGCTAAAAGGTTTTATGATATTTCCAGCACCTAATTATGTAACAACACAAATTTTGAATTTTTATGTCAAAACAATATTTTGGATATTTCTCAATTACCACAGAGTATTAAAGCAAAAACTTCGTCGCAAGTTAAGCACAGTATGCAACAAAAAAGTGTGTTGGTGTTTTTCTTAGTTTAATATTTACCAAAAATTGCCTAAAATTTAAGTCGAATTTAATTGTTCGAATTGAAAATTTTTGCAAATAAAGAACCATATCTCATAAAAGACGGCACTTAATATCAAACCCTGATGCGCCCTTTTTACAGCTATGTGTCAAAACGAGTGTAAAATTAAATTATTCCGAGTTGTAATGACAGAAATATCCATTAATACATCGGCTACTGTAAACAAACAGAGAAATCAGTGTTTTTCTACTTTTTACAATCATTGCCCGTCTGTGTACAAAATGGGTGAACGTATGTGAAACATCTACTGTTAGTACTGTGACATATCCATGATCCATGACTAACTGAAGCCACTAAATTGGTAAAATGTTCTGTGAATCTTGTGATGTGACCGCTCAGGAATTTCAACTATCACTGGCAGTTGCCGACAGCAGAGGGTTGAGGCTGGTAGATTCTGGCATAATCAATACCGTAAATATGCTGGTTGGATCATGTCTTCGTGTCTCATCAGTAAATGTGCGTTTAAAATTAAAGGGCCACAGCTCACTGCACACGTACGCGAGCAATACAAACGCTCTGAAACCTAACATATTTTGGTATATAGAGAAATAAGCATGTACAGAGGTGGAACCATCGAATGAGGCTGAAAATGAAAACTAAATGAAATTTCTCATTAAACCTCGAGTGTATCCCTAAATGTGATCGGTGCCATGTTATCAGACATACTTACAATATGCTGCGAATCTCGGTATTATTAAAGGGATCGTTTACTCTAGGTTCTAGGGTTATTTTCAGTTAATTTAGGTTAAAATTACGCTACATAAAAAGTTTCATGGTTCAATCACCATTAGAAATATGATTAAAAAATGGTTTAAAACTAATGACAACAGTTTCATTATAACGACGGTGGCGCCACTCAAAGCGCACGATCTGATAGGTTGCGCAAAACCACTTTCCAGCCAAGGGCTACAGACCGAGGGTGTTTCTTATTTATTCATTTAAAAGTAAAAGGATTGTAATATCTTATAAACGACATATAGTTTCAGTTATAATATGGATAAATTTGCCCTAAAATGAATATTGTTTGGTTAAATAGCATTTAGGTATAAATGTAATTGCACTTTTGTGACTAGCCCTCGGTCTGTAACAAGCAAAATAAATTGTCAAATACGCAACTTTTTTGGGGTGGCAGCACGGTCGCGGGTGTCATGGCGCCGTTCAAATTTTTCGTAGCGATGATGTGTAATTAATTATAACAATTAAATTAGGTATCTGGTAACAAATACGTGTGGGTATAGGCGATTTGTTATACAGTAAGTACAGTTGTATGCAGTAAAATCCTAGAGGCTACTGTCCTTTTAACTTATTTTACACTGTTTAATTTAGTACCAGGTTTAGGCAATTAAATTATGTTATGTGCAGTAGTACGTGAGTGACAGTGTATAATTACGTTTACATTCCCAGATCATTATAAGTAAGGCTATAACATCAACCACCCTCATGTTATGCACCTAGTACCCATACATGGTATCAGTGCATGGATGAAATTTGGTAATGGTTATGGCAATGGTATGGGAAATTCATCTGGGATTGAAGCATTGAAGAGAATAATTTTAGCAATTTTAGTTCACTTTTAGTTATTATTCATACATTCGACAGTTGTTGGCAGTTATATAGGAACGAGTCCTAACAATTTTCTTGTAAAGGGTGCATTACAATATCTTTATATAAATACATTCTTTTACATCATTCTATTCTCGTTGGCATCTCAATATTAGCAATAAAGTCCTTCTGAACTTCTAGTAAAACAGATCAAAGTGAGTACAGTAATAACTAGAAAGGGCAGTTGTCGCCAACTACATGTATCCTCCGTGTTCTCCCCAAGATGTGTAAGTATACGAAGTTTGGTCGCACTAGGTCAATTAGGGGCCGAGTTATAGAGCGGAAGGGAAATATGATGAAGGTCAAGGTCAAGGTCAAATAAAAGCTTCAGTGACCTGGTTTTGGTACGCGACACAGATTCTCCCCAAGATGTGTAAGTATACCAAGTTTGGTAGCGCTAGGTCAATTAGGGGCCGAGTTAGAGAGCGGAAGGGAAATATGATCAAGGTCAAATAAAGGTCGCAGTGACCTGGTTTTGGTTTGCTGCTCACCTTCTCCCCAAGATGTGTAAGTATACCAAGTTTGGTAGCGCTAGGTCAATTAGGGGCCAAGTTAGAGAGTGGAAGGGAAATATGATCAAGGTCAAGGTAAAGGTCAAATAAAGGTCGCAGTGACCTGGTTTTGGTACTCTGCACACCTTCTCCCCAAGATGTGTAAGTATACCAAGCTTGGTCACGCTAGGTCAATTAGGGGTCGAGTTATAGAGCGGAAGGGAAATTCTCTGCGGCGGACCGAGCGGCGGCGGCGGCGGCTAGGGAGACATGAAACCATAGTATCCCCGCCGAATTCGACGCGGGGGATACAATAATTGTCGGATTTTTAATATCTTTGCAACTTTTATTAGTACAAATCTTATTACATAGGATACGAGTAACCTGGCCGCTGTAAAACTTGTGGTAAAAAAAGCGTTACAAATTGTAACGGAAAATCTACTTGTGGCAGTGGTGAATTGAGCCAGAGCGAGAGCGCCATCTGTCGTGGAGTTTGTTCTTACTACACCATAGTCAAAAACGACCAAAATCGAGTCCTTTTCGCGATCCGCCCCGACGTCCCGAATATCAAGACCGTACGTCGAGCGGTTAAGATTTGTGCCCAACTGTTGATGGTCGGACGGACGGACGGACGGACAATCCTGCGATTCTACAAGCTGCATAGACCTGACTTCGTCAGCTGAGCTAAAAATCAGGGGTGCGACTTATACACAAGGCTAAGAAATCTTGTTAGTGTACCAATGTTTGTACCAACTTTTCAAGGCAAAATATGGTGTGCTATTTATATACACGAGTAAATAGTAGCCAGTGCTCAATTTTCAGGTTTTTTTTGGGTTGCCCGGAGGACAACCAAGAGATCGAGTAGCAGATGGTTGTCCCTCAAGAGTTTTGGTTGTCCGGATATTATTTAAACATGTGCTGCATGCGCTCTGCTCACGTGATGCTCAGTGCTGTAAAGCAAAAGGCCTAATCATGTACATTTTGTACGTATTGCAGCGACAGCAGACATTGCCATTCGCATTGTTTCACTCATTATATGAAGAGAATAATATATTGGTAATGTGGTAAATGATGCTGGGATCAATGACGTATAATAATAGTAATTAGAAGTTGCATGAAATTTATTTCATAACATTTACATTAAGTTAACTAACACTACTAACATTACTAACATTACTAACACTGTGTCAAGTCACAGATGAGTAAAAATTGAAAATTAACACGAAACTTTAGGCGCGTTCACACTGGCGCGAATTAGCGGGATGCAAATCCCGGTTTTTGCATCGCGATCGAAATACCGAGATTATCACAAGTGTGAACGCAATAATCTCACTAATAATCGCGATCAGCATCGCGCTCCAAATCGCACTTTTGACTGCGATTATTTGGAATTAGCGCGATTATTTGCGTGTGTGAACGCTCGCGCAAATAATCCTGGTATTTTCTATCCCATCATTCCAAGCGAGTGAGCAGTGAGCATGCGCAGTGAGCATCATTCCGGCAGTGAGCATGCACAGTTCAATTAATAGAATTATCCCGCTCGGCGATTAGCGAGATATTTCCGCCTGTGTGAACAACGACACAATTATCTCGGTATTTCCATCGCGATTAGCATTGCGGTTTTTCTTGTGTGTGAACATGCCTATTGTGTTGTTAAACACGTGATGTTATACTTTGTATCAAGCAAGCCAGACAATATGCGTCTAGACATGTACGTTTGCAGCGTATTGTGCAACCTTGGCCGTAGGTAAAATGAACGCGCGCATTATGAATATAAATTTTTTTATAGAGGTTGGACACCGGACAACCACGGAAGCAATTTGTAGTTGCCCGAAAGAAAATCCAGTCGTCACGGACGACCGGACGACTGTTAAAATTGAGCCCTGAATACGGTATGTAATTTATTCAGTCCATCCCTGATTGTACATTTCGTCTTGGGTTTTATGTCTACCGAGGTCTGCGCCTGAGCAGTGGAGGAGAGGAAATGAAAGGTGCAAGAAATACAATCGACAGTATCAGTTGAGTTGGTTTTTTATTTATCGTCTTACGATCTAAATGCCACTCCAACACATTACTGTATCAGGGGCTAATATAAATGACAAATTTGTCATTTTTAACCCCTGATATATACACACAGACCACACAACCTCAGAAATGTAAGTCGCCGGTAAAGGTCAAACCAAGGTCAAGGGCAGTGGTGGTTTTAGTATGCGACAGACCTTCTCCCCAAGATGTGTAAGCATACCAAGTTTGGTCGCGCTAGGTCAATTAGGGGCTGAGTTAGAGAGCGGAAGGGAAATATGATCAAGGTCAAGGTAAAGGTGAAATAAAGGTCGCAGTGACCTGGTGGGCAGTTTTTACCCGATCTTGGATGATCTTCAAATTTGGCATGAAGGTGCGTTATGGTAAAGCGAAGATGCCAATCATTTTTGGTGTGGGCGGAGCCATCGTTGCCATGGTAACAAAATTTTTGTGGAAATATTGTAGAACCTGTAACTTGATGTTTTTACCGGATTGTCATGGAATTTGGCACACAGGGCCGATATTATTTATGATCGTCATCATAGATAATAGGGA